ATCTATCTATCTATCTATCTATCTATCTATCTATCTATCTATCTATCGAGAACACAATGCCCATGGTGAAGCATGGTGGTGGTAGAATCATGCTGTGGGGATGTTTTCCATCAGCACAGATTAGGTAATTGGTCAAAGTTACAGAAAAAATGGATGGAAGAAAATATAAAGAGATTTCTGAGGAAGACTTGAGCTGAGGTTGGTTTTCTGGCAGGATGATGACCCTAAATGCATCACTGAAGCAATACCAGTGGTTGTTTAGGAGGACCAGGTAAATGTTCTGAAATGGATCCAGGATAACTTTACCTTTCTAGTACTAGTTTTACAAAAAATCACCCTGAGAACAAATCACATGTAACAAGTCAAAAACAGAATAAAAGTAAACATTTCATCCAGTTTTTAAGAGTTTCTAACAAACAAACAAAAAACTTTGACCGGTATATTAAATTACTTGCATTCCTTCAAGAATAATTGTGTCAGTGTATTAACATCAAACTTCCTGTTTATAAAATGCTAAATTAAGTAAAGTTAAATGTCAATATTATTGAAGAGCATATTACTCATATGGAAGGGATGTTTTTTCTTCTCTAAAAGCATTCCTGTTTCATTAAATAACACTGATGTTGGGAAAAATTGATGGCAGAATACCCTGAAAAAACTTGGCTAATCCAAACAAAAAATAAAGAAAAATGTTTATTTTGTTAATCTTAATTTGCTCATAACATTCTGTCTCTGTGCAGCTTCATCCATCCGTCCATTATCTTTTACTTGCTTCTTCCTTTTCCGGTCACGGGGGTCACTGGTGCCCATATCCAGCAGTCACTGTGCGAGGGGCGGGGTACACCCTGGACATGTCTCCAGTCCATCACAGGGACACACAGAGACAAACGAGACAAACAACCATTCACTCTGTCACTCACACCTAGGGACAATTTAGAGTTACCAATCAGCCTAACATGCATGTTTTTGGACTGTGGGAGGAAACTGGAGTACCCGGAGAAAACCCACACATGCACGGAGAGAACATGCAAACTCCACCCATCAAGGCCCTGGGCCGGGATTTGAACCGGCAACATTCTTGCAGAGAAACAACAGCTTCACTAGCTGAGCCACCGTGCCACCCTGAATTAATTCAATAGTTTATTTATACAGCGCCAAGTCCCAACTGAAGATGTCTCAGGGCACTGAACAGAACCATTCATACCTTATAAAACCAACTAATTAAAGTTATGTATCTAAGTAAACCAGCAGATTGTGTTGAAGCTTCACTTTGTCACTGTCTCCCATCCTGAGCAAGAACAAAGAAGACCGTGGAAAGGAAAAACTCCCTTTTAAAAGGAAGAAACCTCCAGCAGAACCAGGCTCAGGACGAGCGGTCATCTGCTTTGACTGGCTGGGTTTGACTGACAAGTCCAGGTGTACTTTCTATAGGAGGAAAGACAAAAAAAAAAAAAAAAAACACATTAAGAAATAATTACAAATATAAACAGGTAGAGTAGAGCAAGTAAACCAGCAGCAGAGTGAGGAAATGTGGTCAATTTGTCTTCCAGTAGTCTAAGCCTATAGCAGCATAACTAAGGTACAACTCAGGGAACCTAAACCAACCCTAACTAAAGGTTTTATAAAAAAGGAAAGACTTAAGTCCAGTCTTAAAACTGGACAATGTGTCAGTCTTATGGACAGAAACTGAAATTTGCTTCCACAAGAGAGGAGCCTGATAACTGAAAGCTCTGCCTCTCATTCTACTTTTGGAAACTCTAGGAACCACAAGTAAACCTGCAGTCTGAGAATGAAGTGCTCTGTTGGGAAAATATGGAACAATAAGCTCTCTAATATAATATAATATAAAATATGGAGCTAGGTTGTTGAGAGCTTTGTAGGTTAGAAGTACGATTTTGAATTAAATTCTGGATTTGACAGAGAGCCAATGGAGAGAAGCTAAAACTGGAGAAATATGATCTCTCCTACTAACTCCAGTTAAGACTCTGGCAGCAGCATTTTGGATCAACTGAAGATGTTTTAAAGAAGTATTTGGACACCCAGATAATAAACCATTGCAATAATCCAGTCTAGACGTGACAAATGCATGGACCAGTTTTTCTGCATCGTTTTTGGACAAGACGTTTCTAAGCTTAGAGATATTACGCAGGTGGGAGAAATGGTCCTGGTAACCTTTTTAATGTAGGGGTTAAAAGATATATCCTGATCAGAAATAACAAAAAGGTTTTTTGTTTTTTTTAAATCCCCAAAAATAAATAAAGATAAGTAGGCTACAGTAACATACCTTGATAAACCTTTCTATGATGTGCTGAAGCCAGTGAACCTTGTTTCTTAGCTACTGTTCTGCAGCATACTGTATATAATGCCTTTCATTCTGCTGCTTTTAGAACTTTTAGGTCAATTATATTACCATAGCAACCACTCAGAAATAATTCTGTACTCCTGGTCAACATCAATGCCAGCTGTGTATGAAGAGCACACTTTCAAATGGTATTGACACCTGAAGCCTTTGTGTCATTGATTATAGTCTGTACTCATGGGATTGGTGATGATTTGTGTGTGGAAGTCATGAGCACATCTACTGTAAAAAAGTTATCTTTTTGGTTGGTCATACTTTGACACTTGTAATCGTATGCTGTTGTTGTTTTTTTTCAGGATGCACGACTTATTCCGCAGCTGAGATTTTGTCCGACTCCCGTCCTCAACATGGACACAGGAAGCGCTGCGCTGTAAAGGAAGGAGTCACATCACACGCAGTCTGCTGCCACGCTCTGTCTCTCGAGTGCCATCTGTTGGAAAGCACATCGGCCTACAAAGACCAGGCGCGTCCTTCAGACACAGACATCAGAGACCTGTAACTATTAACCATTTTGTCCAGGACTTAGCCTCTTATCCTGAGGTGTCGTTGTTGTTTTCCTGCAGGTCGAAGTGTCCTGTCCTGATGGCTGGACTCTGACGGACTGCAGTGCCATTTCTCAGGGCTCTGCTGTCTCTGGATCTGTTGCTAGGGGCAACAGCTGCCATATCCACAATACCACAGGGGCAGGTGGGGCAACAGGTATTGCCGTTTGCTGCCGCTTCCCGCCGCCACCGCATCCACCAGCTACAACTCCAAACTGATCCGGTCTCACAGCATTTCTTTGTGAACAGCTTTGTGGCCGTTCCTCTAACTTTCTTTACATTCTGAAGACACTTTAACCCTCCTAAAATTCACAGCAGGCACTTCTGTAAAGCTGTTCGTGTTGCAGTTGGGTCAGAACATGCTCCACATTGTACGGATGTCCCATCGTATGTCTTGTTATGTTTTTCGTCAGCTCACACATCCAAGTTTGAAGACATACCCCAGTATCTTTGGTATCTTTGTAATGAACAAGTGTAATAAACAACAGTTTTCATGAACTCAAGATGACCCAGATTTGATTTGATTTGTATGCAACATTCAGTAAGTAATCAGTTCAGCATCATGAAAACATGCAATTTAACCGATGATGATGTATTCGTTTTAAATGATGACTGATATGTTTTCACAACACATCATGTAGAAATTGGTGTCTTATAATACTCAGCCTTTGTTTCAAGCAGTCTCTGTAGCTGTACCTTCATGTGCAGTAGGTCTTTCTGTGTGGATTTTACATGATCTCCTCGTTTTCACATGGGGTTTCTCTGGTTTCCTCTGACCCTCAGACAACAAGCATATTTAAGCTGCATTCAGGCCCTGGCCTCCCTTGAAATAAAGAATCTGTGATCTCAATGGAATCCGACTAGTTCGATAACAAATAATATGGCCTCGCATTTGACTCCAGAATCCTTGGTCTACAGAGGAGTTCACAGTCAACTCAGTGACTGCAAGATGTCCAAGACCTGCGACTGCAAAGCAAGCCCAAATCATTAATTAGTTTTGTGCTGATAGGGCATTTCTAGTTTTCTCCAAGTATGGTGTTGTGCATTACAGGCAAACATCTATACTTTGGTCTCATCTGTCCAAGGGACAGTGTTCAACACCACGTGGTTCATTCAGATCTTTTCAATCCAAATGTAAGCGATGCTGCCATCAGCTTTTTATGTTTCCTCCTGCATTCTTTCCAAACAAGTCATACTTAGTCTTTTTCTAATTGTACTGCCAGGCACTTTGATCTTTTACCTGCAAGCCGAAGCCTGTAGATCTGTATCTTGAGCTTTTTCTTTAGCATTGCATGGTCTGACCTTAGGGTGAATTGACAGGGAGTAAGACTGACAACTGACGTAAATCTTTTCCATGCGTGAATGACTTTTTCTCTGTAGGATTATTATTTCCAAATAGCTTAGACATGACCTTTAACCTTTTTCAGACTAAGGTGGAATTTGTTTCTCTAAGATCATTGCTGTTATCTTTCCTTCTTGGCATTGTGTTGACACACGTACACTCCAGAGCAGCAAACCACTAAAACTCCTGGCATTATAGAAGTGGCACTGATGATTACTTCATAAAAACATTTGATCAGTAGGACCTGGCTGTACTTTCACTTTTAAATACTATGGAAGCAGCAAGAGGGCTTTTGCACTAATTTAAACTTTTTTCAGTCTAATTCAGCTAAAATGTGCTCTCCACTTCATTCTGGTAATTTCAGCTTCTGCCTTTTTAGCTACTTTTCAGCTGCTCTTTGCTCATTTCAGCTTTTTTCAGATAATTTCCACTTTTTTATGCTCATTTCTGCTTCTTTCAGCAAATATGTTCTTTGCTTTCTTCTGCTAATTTAAGCTTGTAACTTTTCAGCCAATTTCAGATAAATTCAAGTGTTTTGTGGTAATTTCTGCTACTTTCAGTCTAACTTCTTTATGCTAGTTTCAGCTTATGCTCATTTCAGCTTATTTCTGCTATTTAGCAGTTTTATGCAAAATTTTGCTTTTTCAGCTTGTTTCAACCATTTAAAAAATAATAATTTAAGCGTTTTTAGTCAGTTACTTTTTTTTTTGTTGCTAATTTCTGTTTAAACCTAATTCAGCAAATGCGTATTATTTCTTCTTTTTTGCTAAGTTAGACTTGTCCGTCCATTTCAGCATTTTTTAGCTTTTAAATCCATTTTAGCTTGTTTTTTTTTTTAGTTCATAACATTCTTCAGCAATAAACATTCACACTGCATTTTCGCAGGAAATACAACTTCTCTAGTTGTATATCTTTTTTATACTTTGATACCAACCTTGAAAAACAAATTCAGTACATAGGACCATTAGGAACACAGATCCTTCAGCTTCATCTGTCCTCAAAATGTCTCATCTGTCCAACTCGATGCCTCTGCAATATCAGGCTGAGGACTTGAGAGAAAACATTTGCAACAAGGTTGTGCATTCCAGTTTATTTTATATCAAATTTCCCCCTTAATCAAACTCTGATGTACAAATTAAAATTGAGTTTTAACATGCATTACAGATTCCTGCGATGTCAGAAGTGAAATTTGAAAATTGAAGCACAGTAAAAACCCGTATAGATGCCAAAACCCAACCCTCGCACTTCCTCGGTCCTCCCTGCATCCCAGAATTAAAAGAACGTTTTGCAGTTCTCCCTCGCTACCGTCGACAAATTGTTGTGGAGACGTAGAAGAAGGCCAAACCCGTGGGAGGCTCTTGGCTCGATGCAGCTCGTGTCGCTCAGCACAGACTGCATGCGGCCTCCCTCCAAGGATCAGCCACGGAAAGCGGCGCTCGTTAGGGACAGCAAATGCTAATGATACCAAATCACACAGCAAACAACACGGGGGGTTGATTTTCTTTCTTTCGTTTGTCTTTCCTCTTCAAAACAAACAAACAAAAAAAACTTCACCCCTTGCCGCCACACATGCAAACGTGCTGAAGAGCACAACGTGACATTCAGAACTAATGAAGCAGATGAAGAAGGTGTGAGGGGTGCGCATGGAAGGGCTAAAGCGGCGTCTTTCCTCTGCAGGCTGATTGAGACTTGAACTAAAGTTTGCATGATTGCCTCATGTTGTAAACATTGACCTGTTAAAGCTGAGAGCTAAGCTTCTATGGTAATTTAAGCTCATGTCTTCAAAAACGTGAACTTGTGGTTTCCCTCAAAGCTACAGAGTAAATTAGAGTGAAAAGAAGCAGCATTTTACCATCACCAAAACCTTGTCGCCTCATCCCTGTTCGGCTATATTCAGGGACACCCCACCCTCACATCAAGACAGTTACATTCACAGAATCCATCGTCACGGCACACAAAGAATGTGGGGTGATGGGAATGTACGAGCCCTGTTGCACTCCCACGGTCGGACAATACGACCGCAGGAAAACTGTTCGGCATCACACGCTTGACAACATCCCACTGGTGATCAATACAGCATCAAGGCGATCGGAGTGAGATCGGGAGATGAAGGCACTTTAAGACTCCCGACAATCTGGGGGTAAGGATGATAGTAACATGGGTGTTTCTCTCCAGTGAAAACTCGAGCTACGTTTGGTTTTAACTTCCTCAGTGTGTGTGAAGAGGCAAGAGCAAAGCACAAAAGGCGAAACTAAAAGAAAGCCGATCCAGCAGAGGTAAGTGAGGTGGACCTGTGTGTGGTACATGAGAGCGAACTGAACGAGTGATGCACACGCAGGTTTGTCTTTTTATATCAGTGTATTACAGAGTGGTAGTCTTTGTGTATAACCTTGGCACCTAAAATCAAAACATACTCCTGAGCTTCTCCTTATCGGCACTGACGGCCTGCCTACACTGACCTGTGAGCTCCCAGATCAGGTTTTCTTGCATAAGGCTGAAGTCTAAAGATCTTAAGGATTTAATCCATTCAGTATCAAAGAAAAATTGGCAAAAAAAAATAAGCGCGATGAGAATAAAACCCGGCATAATGTCAGCAGAGAGAAAGAGCAAAGGGAGGCTGCTGATCTTGGCACTGCTAGTTTGAAATTTGCTGAGGGCCACGGATTTGTCCCCCTGTGGCTACGGGTCAAAGGTCCAGTCACAGGCAGAGTGGCTCGCTGCTGTGCAGCTGCATTAAGTGGCACTGCACACAGAAGTTGATAAAAGCAAAAAAAAGGAAGAGAACACCAGTGCCAAGTGGCTCTGGAGGAACTGACCCGTGCTGCTGTACATCACAATAGCCTAAAGTGCATACTTAACCCCGCCCCTCCCCTCCCCAAGTGCTTGTGTGTGAAGGTGTTTCTGTACAAATGCACACGCCTGTACGTTCCTCTAGAGCAGCTAATGTTACCTCCTTCAATTTGCATGGCTGTGAAAAAAAAACAAAAAAAAAAAAACACAAGAGGCTTTAAAATATTATCTTACACTGAAAATTACACCTATGGAACAAATCGTAATTACAATATGAATATGTCTATGCAAATACATTGGCAAATATGAGCAGATTTATGTTAAAACACCGCCCGGACACATCCTCCACCATCGTGTCGTTCGAAGCCAATGAGTGAATTGAAGCATGAACTTAAGTCGTCTTCGACTCACGGAAGGTTATTTGCTCTTCCCACCCCAATCAACTTCAGTGCCCTTAATGACGACGCATCTGAATCACTGCCTTGGCTGCTCGGAAAGGAAGTAATTCATGATTTATTCATAGCTCCTTCGTTGCCGTAGGGACAGAAAGAAAGTATCCTGATTGGCTTCCTGTGGAGTCCTAAGTGTCCTGACCAATCAAAGGCAAAGTGCAGCCCCTTCAGCTGGCTGCCTGGACCTGCGCTGACTCTCCGTTGGACGGATCCCGCCAGCTGGATGAGTTAGGAGTCGACGTCTTCTAGATCGCTCTTTGAATCGCCAAGCATCATGGGAGACTCTGAACCCTTTGGGAGAAAACAAATCCAGATTTAAGAACAGAAGTTAGGACCTTAAGTGAAGCATTCAGGGCGTGACGGAGATATTACAATTTCAACTGCAGAAATGGCATTTCCTGAGAAAATGCAGTATGAATGCATATTGCTAGAAAAACAGCTGAAATTAGCTCAAACATGCTGAAATGTAGCTGAAATGGAAGAACAAGCCTAAGTTAGCAGATGAAAGCAGAAAGAACGCATATTTGCTGAATTAGGTTTAAAAAATCAGAAATGAGCACACTTAGGAAATTAGCTAAAAAGAAATGGAAATTAGTAAAAAGTAGCTGAAAAGACAGAAAAAAGTTTAAATTATCAGAAGGAAGGGGAACAAGCTGGAACAAGCTGAAATAAGCTCCAAAAATGTGGAATTAGCTGAAAGGGCTAAATTTAGCACAAAACAGCTAAATAGTAGCTGAAATAGCATAAAAAGCTAAAACTAGCAGTAAGAAGCTGAAAGTATCATAACAAGATGACATTAGCAGAAAGAAGTTAATTAGGCTGAAAGTTGCAGAAATTACCATGAAAAAAATTGAATTTATCTGAAAACTTTAGCTGAAATTAGATTAAAAAAAAAATGCTAAAAGCAAGCTAAAAAGATAGAGCAAGCTTAAATTAGCAGAAGTAGTAAAAAAAAAGTGTTGGCCCATTTAGGCTGAAAGAAGCAGAAATGAGCACAAGAAATTGAAAATTATCTGAAAAAAGCTGAAATTAGCAAACAGCTGAAAAGTAGCTAAAAAAGCATGAAGAAAAAAGTAACAGAAGGAAAGAAGAGAGCACATTTTTGCTGAATTAGGCTGAAAAATGCTGAAATGAGTGCAAAAAATGTGGAATTAGCTGAAAAAGCTAAAATTAGCACAAAAACAGCTGAAGTAGCTGAAATAGCACAAAAAGCTGAAACTTGCAGAAATAAGCTGAAATTAGCAGAAAAACGTTAGAAGAAGTACAAAAATGTTGTAGTTAGCAGAAAGAATCTGAAAGGAGCTCAAAACGGCTGAAAAAAACAGCTGAAATTAGCTGAAAAATGTTAAATGTGTACAAGGAAGCTGAAACAGAACAAAAAGGAGAAATAAAAGGTTGTAAACAAATTTAAAAATTTGAAGGATGGAAAATTAGATCAGTTTATTTGATATGAGAACAAAAATGTAAAAAAAAGGCTAAATATACCAAAAAGCTAAAGTTGCACCAATCGTAGCAAGATTGCACTGAATGAGCTGAACGTTTTGAAATATGAATTGTTGAAATGGCACAAAAATTGTGGAACGAGAAAGACGCTGAACAACGTACGGAAGAAAAATGGATCACAATAGTGTGAATGCTTCATAAACATTCACACAAGATACACTCATCATCTACACAGTTCATGCCAGAGAAAGTCCGACAATCCTGTGTAGGCACGCTGACGAGGACAGCACAAGTCAGGATGAAAGAGCGGGTCTAAATCCACCGCTAATAACAACCGTAGGTGGTAACAAACTGCCTTCAAAGCTCTCGGCAGAAGCCAGTGAGATTATGTGTTTTGCTCCATTGTTCTTCTTTTGGCATCGTGAGCTGCTGGAACCACATGAGTCACTTCAGAGCCCCGCTGTGTGGAGCAGCTCGCAGGCTTTCTGACAGCAGCTACCTGTCGGAGGCTGCGGTCTGCGTTCTCATTCGCCGGGCTGCCGTCGGAGCCGTTGCTGCTGCCAGACTGCTCCTTCTCATTTAACAGTGCTGTGGCGTAGGCCAGGGTATCCTGTAGATGTTAACACACACACATACGTCAGTCTGACTGAGCAGGACATTTAAACCAGTTCCATCTATAAGGAAAGTGAGCTGAGCGGGTCTAAATCCACCTCTTTGCTAAATGTCCTGCTGCGATGCAGAACTTTTTACCTGTGCAGAAATGGTGCGCTGGAAGGTTTTATTGGTAGAGGTCTCATTGGAGACGTTGCTCTGAGGAGTCCAGTAATGTTCAGTCATCTGAGGGAAGAAACAGTACAACTCATTATAAAATGAACAAATATGTTATTGTTGTCTCCAAATCTCGAGAGCAAAGAAAAAAATGTTTAAATGGAAAGTTAAGTCTGGATACATTAATGTTTATTCTAAATATAAAAACTGTTTATGACTACATGAGTTGAACATCATTTAAATGAAAAGGGTTTAATGCATTTAAAACAAGCGCACAAACAGTGAAATGCAGCTGGTTGTTCACATGTGGGAGATCGTGCAGCATTTTACTCACTTTTTTCTGCAGCCACTGCACAGCCCAGCTCCAGTGACCAGACAGGTCTTTGAAATAATCTTTGGCTGGTGGACATCTGAGGAGGAAAAACAGAAACGCATATTAAGTGATACAACAAAAACAGAGCATCCCACAGTAAATAAATTTTCCCATTTAAGCCCGACCCCGAGATGAACTCACTTTTGAGCCAGTGTGACGAGGAACTTTACACACTGGTAGCAGCGCCTGCTGTCCACGTTGTTGCTCTGATGCATCAAAGCTGTGATGAGAACACATTATCACATTATATATATTTAAACAAACAAATAAATAATTAAAGTAGCCCCTTGCTACTTTGCGGTTTGACTTTCGCAGACTCGCTCTTTCGCAGTTTTTCAAAGTAAGATTGAACATGAGGGAAAAATAAATAATTGTACAGGACACATGATTGTCTTCTTTAATATTACGTGATTGGGACAGTACAGGATACTGTACAGTAAAAAGTTAACGAAAAATAAAATACTTCGGAGAGGTGCCACCATTTTGTAGTTTTCTTTCAATAAGCCTACACTGTATCGCCACTCAAACGACTACATTTCCCAGAAGCCAACAGTGCCCTGCCCAGAAGCTCCAATGCCTTCTGCTGAAACACTAGAGGGAAAGTTTTGATCTGATCCGAAAAAGTTTGGTCCTTTACAGTGACTTTGGAGCCCAGCAGATCCAGAGAGTCGCACTGAACCGGAGCAGAACCGGACCCCCATACTCATCGGTGAACCCAAGAGATGATAGCTGGCCCACAAGGACTTCCTCGCAAGGACGCGCCGCCGTAGGTCCGGCTTCTCTCTGGAGCTCGAGGATGTGTGTTGAGCCCCCTCCTGTTTGCTCTGCTCGCATGTGGTTGTGCGGCTACCCATCCAGGCTATCACATTGTGGAGTTTGCGGATGGTGCAGCGGTGGTGGGATGCATCACGGACGGTGATGGGTCCGGCTGCGGACAGGAGGTGGAGCACCTGGGGAGCTGGTGCAGGGAGAGCGGCCTTCGCATTGATGTGGAGAGGACGGGGGAGATGATTGTGGACTTCAGGGGGAACAGGAACGTCTGCACCCCCCTGAAAATGGGAGGATCTGCAGTGGAAGTGGTCTCCGGCTGTGGGTACTTGGGTGTGCACATGAGTGGCAACTCGGCTGGAGCAGCAACACCGCCAGCCTGATCGGGAGGGCTCGTCGGAGACTCTACTTCCTCAGACGGTTGGGACGAGCTGGTCTGGGGGGCTCGGTCCTCGCCTCCTTCTGTGGGTGTGCAATGAAGGGCGTCCTGTGCTCCGGCATCGGCGTGTGGCATGGAGGCTGCACAGCTGCAGGAAGAGGGGCTTTGCGGAGAGTGGTGGGGGCTGCGCGGAGGTCTGTCGGGGTCGGTCTCCCCACAATCACAGACATCTACACCTCTGGGGAGAGGTTGAGGAGCATTGGGTGTGGAACTACTGGACTCGGGAGCAGCTTCTGTCCTGAGGCTGTTAGACTCATGGATCTTTAGCCAGAATAATCGCTGTGAGAAGGGTCACATCGTTTTGCTGCTGATCTGTTTCATGTTGCTGCTGATCTGTTTCAATGTTGATGTGTTCATGCGTGCTCGTCTGCTAACAAGGACTCATGGTCATGTTTGTGCTGATGTTCGACGTAATGTTTTATGTTATGAGTGCTTGGTGTATATTTAGTTGATGTTTTTCTTAGTTCATATCTTAGATGTTATTACTGTTTTTCTTTTACATTTTATTGTTTGATGTAACTGGGACCCTGTGTACATAATTTTGCTCCACCACATGTACCACATGAGGTGCGAATGACAATAAAGAAACTCTGACTCTGTCTCTCTGACTCTGACTCACCACCACTACCCCAAGCCAGAGCAGAACCGAGCCGCTGCTGTTCTGCAGAACTGGTGAGTAAAAATTTAGTAACTACAGATAAGTATGTTGTTAAAATTTGTAGATTTAAGAGTTTAGAACATTGCAAGAGTGTGGGGTTTCTAAAGCCTTAAAATATATGTAAATACTAAAATAAATATAACATCACTACTTCGTGAATTTTCACTTATTGCGGGAAGTGTGGGGGGGGGGGGGGGGTAATGGAGACAGACGTAATCCCCGCATAAACGAAGGACTACTGTACAAATACAAAGCTTCAACACCACATTGATCTGAGGACGTACCTAACAGGCCTTTCTCTGACTCAAAGGCGTACTTTAGTCTCTGGGACTGCAGAAGGTCTTCCACTACCTGAAAATAAAGATTCATAGAAAGGATGAGAACTAAACGAGGTTAAACAGCGATGGTGTGATAAGACGACTGACGCACAAGAAGATCCTGCAGCATCTGAAACACGTTCTTCAGCTCATGAGGTGGAGCAGTCTCCAGCTGACTCTGTGATAAAAAGATTTTGGAACGATTTAGAACCCCATCGTGATGTGAGACACACGGGAGGTGTTTTATAACTTTCTTACTTTGAGTAACTGCAGCACTCCCAGGGAGAAGACTTCGTTACAGTAGGAGCAGTAGGTCACCATCTCTATCAGCAACAACAGAGGTCCAGACAGCTCACGCATGGCAAACATCACCTGTTCACAATGACAGAGAAGACATCAGTGAACACGAACCTTTAAAATCAAATATAAGATGTTAAAACACCGACATGTTGGTCTGCACGTTACCTCAAGTAGATAGGGCTGTCCCTCAGGGGTGAAGAGTGATGCAAGAATATCTCTGTGGAGGGGGAGGAGAGGTGTCGAGGAAAGGACGCTGTTTAGATGTAACTTCGTTCCCTCTGGATCTATGAAGACAAAAAGAAACCAAATCAAATTAAAAGCCTAGCGTTTCTTTAAAGAATACATACTGTCTACCACCTTTCATCCTGGAGTTGTTCACACAAGAATAACCTCTGGAAATGTTTGTGTTTTTTTTTTATGTTTATTGGGGGTAAAAAACAAAAAAAGACAGTGTTTACACAAAAACACTGTAGTTTCCATGTCAGTCGGGTTGCCAGATAAGAAATTAATAGCTATAATACTGCCGCTTTAAAATGATAGTACAAACCGGATTCCAAAAAAGTTGGGACACTAAACAAATTGTGAATAAAAACTGAATGCAATGATGTGGAGATGGCAAATGTGAATATTTTATTCATAATATAACAAAGATGACAGATCAAAAGTTCAATCTGAGTAAATGTAACATTTTAAAGGAAAAATATGTTGATTCAAAATTTCACAGTGTCAACAAATCCCCAAAAAGTTGGGACAAGTAGCAATAAGTGGCTGGAAAAAGGAAATTGAGCATATAATGAACAGCTGGAAGACCAATTAACACTAATTAGGTCAATTGACAACATGATTGGGTATAAAAAGAGCTTCTCAGAGTGTCAGTATCTCTCAGAAGCCAAGATGGTAAGAGGATCACCAATTCCACCATTGTTATGCAGAAAGATAGTGCACCAATACCAGACTGGTGTTACCCAGCGTAAAATAGAAAAGACTTTTAAGTTATCATCATCAACCGTGCATAACATCATCAAAAGATTCAGAGAATCTGGAACAATCACTTGTGCGTAAGGGTCAAGGCCGTAAAACTCTACTGGATGCTCGTGATCTCCGGGCCCTTAAACGTCACTGCACCTCAAACAGGAATGCCACTGTCAAGGAAATAACAGAATGGGCTCAGGAATACTTCCAGAAAGCATGGTCAGTGAACACAATCCACCGTGCCATCCGCCGTTGCCAGCTGAAACTCTACAGTGCAAAGAGGATGCCATTTCTAAACAAGCTCCACAAGCTCAGATGTTTGCACGGGGCCAGGGGTCATTTAATATGGAGTGTGGCAAAATGGAAGACTGTTCTGTGGTCAGATGAGTCACGATTTGAAGTTCTTTATGGAACACTGGGATGCCATGTCATCCGGACCAGAGAGGACAAGGATAGCCCAAGTTATTATCAACGCTCCGTTCAGAAGCCTGCATCACTGATGGTATGGGGTTGCATGAGCGCTTGTGGCATGGGCAGCTTGCATGTCTGGAAAGGCACCATTAATGCAGAGAACTATGTTCAGGTTCTAGAACAATATATGCTTCCACCTAGACGTTATCTCTTTCAGGGAAGACCCTGCATTTTTCATCACGATAATGCCAGACCACATTCTGCAGCAATCACAACATCATGGCTACGTAGGAGAAGGATCCGGGTACTGAAATGGCCAGCCAGCAGTCCAGATCTTTCACCTATAGAGAACATTTGGCGCATCATAAAGAGGAGGGTGTGACAAAGAAGGCCCAAGACGATTGAACAGTTAGAGGCCTGTATTAGACATGACAAGGTCCTGGAGAACTGGCGTGTCCAGCTGAGACTCACGCTGTGGGGTACGTCATGGATTCATGGGGAGTGTGGCAGATGATGTGTCTATCCGTTCTGTCTCAGGAGGAAGTTGAAGACGTTTACATATTTGGAATTAAGATAGCAGGGACTCTGCTTTTTGGCATCGGCGGGGCTTTGTTTTATCGACTTTTGAAGAAGACATCGGCAGCTGCTTCAGCCATGGAAAAGCTTCCGAGTCAGTGTGAAGGCCTGGTCCTCACTGTGGGAACTTTGAATCATCTGGTTTACGAGCTTAACCGTAAGGTGGAGGCAATTTATGAAAATTGCAGGCCACCTGCGGCTTCTGGGACTCGTCAGCGTGGTGGGTTCGACCTTGAAAGAGACTCATAGCATGGATCAGTGGAATGGAATCCCACAATTAGGCATTTTCGGAACCAGAACGCCCAGATGGACTCAAGGCTGAAGAAAAAGTAATCTCTGCCTGAAGAAAAACAAGAATCAAGCTTATCTAAGTCTGACTCCCGACGGCCTCGGAGACAGGCCGACTTTCAATTTCTCCTGGGACATGAGTACCCAAGGACAAAAGCTTCATCTATCGCCCCCCCCCGAGAACTTTCTGTGCAAGCTCATCAGAACTGTCCGCTGAAACATCTTCAGAAACTGTGGCTGATCTGAAAAAACGCTCATGGACAAATCTCAACACCTTGATGTCAAATGCAAATGTAATCATGTTTTAATTGTGTTTGCTGGTAGTTTTTTGATGTCTCAAATCATGTCCTGATAGACAAGATGTGAAAGATCTTTTTTTGTAATGCCACTATCTACCCTCATGTTTCTACCCCTTTTCCCATCTAAGATTATTATCTGATAAGGATAAAAATGGCCGCGCTTTCTACAGTTGCAGCTTCGTGCACTCCGCCCATCTTTCGGACGACTGTACGTACATATTTGAGTTGTACCTCGGTGCAATTCCAATAAAGTTTATTCTGATTCTGAATGGGAGAGCATTCCTATTTCTAAACTTGAGAAACTGGTCTCCTCTGTCCCCAGACATCTGTTGAGTGTTGTAAGAAGTGGTAAAAATGGACTTGTCCCAACTTTTTTGGGATTTGTTGACGCCATGAAATTTGGAAACAACAGATTTTTCCCTTAAAATGATACATTCTCTCAGTTTAAACTTTTGATCTGTGATTTGTGTTCTATTCTGAAAAAAATATTAGATGTTGGCACCTCCACATCATTGCATTCAGTTTTTATTCACAATTTGTTTAGTGTCCCAACTTTTTTGGAATACGGTTTGTATTTTGACCTAAACTGTCATATGTGCTGAGTAAAGATATTTTAAGATGATGTGTGTGTTGTATGTGTTGAACATGTGCACAGAAAAGGAGGGGGTAAATAAGACATTTTAAATGTATCTGGCAACCCTGATGCCAGACTCAGCTGCATTCATCATCGTGTATGCAGAGTCTGCATGACCACAGTTAGTCCAAACTAGTGAATACACTAACGTCTCTTTGGACCCTGGATTTTATTAGTTTTGATGAAAAAGGGTGAGCAGCACAAAAACACTCTATCTGCCATTTATTATAACTGTTGTTAGTGCCTCCTCCTTGAATCGCCACCTTATCGTGGTGAAGGAGTTTGTGAACCAGAATGATCCTAGGAGCTATGCTGTCGGGGGTAATTATAATTGCCCTTGGTAGGGTCTCCCAAGGCAGATTAGTCCTAGGTGACAGGCCAGACAAACTGCGATTCAGAAGATTTTTATGGACAAAACAAAACAAGGAACTCAGTGTCCCTAGCGCGGATGTGGGTTACCGGGGCCCCACCCTGGAGCCAGGCCTGGGGGAGGGGCTCGTCAGCGAGCACCTGGTGACCGGGTCTCTGCCCATGGGGCCCGGTTGGGCTCAGCCCGAAGGAGCAGCATGGGTTTGCCTTCCTGTGGACCCAACACCTGCAGGAAGGGCCATAAAATTTGGGTGCATGAATCCATGGGCAGTGGCCAAAGGCGGGGACCTTGGCGCTCTGACCCTAGCTTACCAAAGCTGACTCTTAGGACATAGAATGTAACCTCTTTGACAGGGAAGGAGCTTGAGCTTGTGCGCGAGGTTGAAAGGTACTGACTAGATATAATTGGGCTCACCTCGACACACAGCATGGGCTCTGGAACTGATCTCCTTGAGAGGGGTTGGACCTTATTTTACTCTGGAGTTGCCCATGGTGAGAGGTGTTAAGCTGGTGTGGGTTTACTTGTAGCCCCCCGACTTGGTGCCTGTGTGTTGGAGTTTTCCCCGGTAGATGAGAGGGTGGCTTCCCTTCGCCTTCGGGTGGGGGGACGGGCTCTGTGCCTACGTGCTGAATTACAGTTCAGAATATCCGGCCTTCTTGGAGTCCTTGGCAGGGGTGCTGGAAGGTGCGCCAGCTGGGGCCTCCTTTATTCTGATGGGGGACTTCAATGCCCACGTGGGTAATGACTGTGTGACCTGAACGGCCTCTCTGATCTGAACCCGAGCGGTGCTCTGTTGTTGGACTTCTGTGCTAGTTATAGTTTGTCCATCACGAACACCATGTTCGAACATAAGGGTGTCCATAAGTGCACTTGGCACCAGGACACCCTAGGTCGTAGATCGATGATTGACTTCATAGTTGTGTCATATGATTTGCGGCCATTTATTTTGAACACTCGGGTAAAGAGACAAGCTGAGCTGTCAACTGATCACCACCTGGTAGTGAGTTGGATCAGATGGCAGGGGAAGATGCCGGACAGACCCAGTAGACCCAAACGTGTAGTGAGGGTTTGCTGGGAATGCCTGGCAGAAGAACCTGTCAGAGAGATCTTCAACTCACACCTCCGGGAGAGCTTTAACCGCATCCCAGCTGAGGTGGGGGACATTGAGTCTGAGTGGGCCATGTTCTGCACCTCACTTATTGAGGTAGCTGCATTGAGCTGTGGCCGCAAGGTTGTCGGTGTTTCTCGCGGTGGTCATCCACGAACTCGGTGGTGGACACCCTGGGTTAAGGAGGCTGTCAAGCTGAAGAAGGAGTATTATCGGACCTTGGTGGTCAGTGGGACTCTGGAGGCAGCTGAGGAGTACTGGAGGGCCAAGAGGTGTACAGCCTTGGCTTTTGCTGAAGCAAAAGCTCGGATGTGGGAGGAGTTCGGTGAGACCTTGGATAGAGACTCTCGGTCAGCTCTGAGGAAATTCTGGCAAACCATCAGGCGGCTGAGGAGTGGAAAGCAGCACTTTACTAACAATGTGTTCAGTGAAGGTGGGGTGCTGTTGACCTCAACCAGTGATGTCGTCGGGAGGTGGAAGGAATACTTCTTGGACCTTCTCAATCCCACCAGCACGTCTTCTATGGAGGAAGCTGAGTCAGGGGACTTTGGGGTTGATCCGTCCATAACCGTGGCTGAAGTCGCTGAGGTAGTTAAAAAGCTCTGAGGCAGCAGGGCTCCGGGAGTGGATGAGATTCACCTTGATTTCCTTAAGACTCTGGATGTTGTTGGGCTGTCTTGGCTGACACCTTTGCAACGTTGTATGGACATCGGGGGCAGTGCCACTGGACTGACAGACTGGGGTGGTGGTTCCCCTCTTCAAAAAGGGGGACCGGAGGGTGTGCTCCAATTATAGGGGCATCACTCTCCTTAGCCTCCCTGGTAAGGTCTATTCAGGGGAACTGGAGAAGCGAGTCCGATCGTTGGTCGAACCCCAGATCCAGGAGGAACAATGTGGGTTCCGTCCTAGCCGTGGAACACTGGATCAGCTCTTTACCCTCACTAGGGTCCTCTAGGTTTCATGGGAGTTTGCCCATCCAGTCTACATGTGTTTTGTGGACTTGGAGAAGGCATTTGACCGTGTTCCTCGGGGTACAATGTGGGGGGTGCTCTGTGAGTATGGGATTGGAGGCCCTTTGTTACGGGCTGTTCAGTCCCTACAAGTGGTGCGAGAATTTGGTTCGCATTGCCGGCAGTAAGTCAGACCCCTTCAGGGTGGGAGTTGGACTCCGCCAGGGCTGCCCGTTGTCACAGATTCTGTGCATAACTTTTATGGACAGAGTTTCTTGGTGCAGCCAGCTGGCGGAGGGTTTCCAGTTTGGTGGCCTCAGGATTCCATCTCTGCTCTTTGCAGATGATGTGGTCCTGTTGGCGTCATTGTGTCGTGATCTTCAGCTCTCACTGGAGCAGTTCGCAGCCGAGTGTGAAGCGGCTGGGATGAGAATCAGTACCTCCAAATCTGAGGCCATGGTCTTCAACCGGAAAAGGGTGGATTGCTTTCTTCAGGTCGAGGGTGAGATTCTGCCTCAAGTGGAGGATCAAGTATCTCAGGGTCTTGTTCACGAGTGAGGGAAGAATGGAATGTGAGATTGACAGATGGATTGGTGCAGCATCTGCAGTATTGTGGACTTTGTACCGGTCCGTTGTGGTGAAGAGAGAGCTGAGCTGTAAGGCAAAGCTCTCTGATTACCGGTCGGTCTACGTTCTTACCCTCACCTATGGTCATGAGCTCTGGGTAGTGACCAAAAGAATGAGATCGCAGATACAAACGGTTAAAATTAGTTTTCTCCACAGGGTAGCTGGACTCTCCCTTAGGGTGCATTCACACCAGCCCTGTTTAGTCCGCTTTAATCAAACTCTAGCTCGTTTTCCTAGGAAGTCCGGTTCGTTTGGGGAGGTGTGAATGCGCCATCGAACTCTGTCACGGAACAAAAAGGCGAACTCTGGCCCGGGCTAAAACCTAGGTCTCGGTCCAGAAGAAGAGAACTCCAGCGCGGTTCAAGTACAGTGTGAATGCAATCAGACCGGGCCCCGCTCCACAAGCAAGAAGTGGAGTATAATGCAGGGCAAACAAACACGCATTTCTCTTACCTTATATGGAGCAGTCAGCTGCCTTGTGTGAAAAACAATATTCTCCATAGTCTTCTGCCTCATCTTTTGCTCATGCTGAGTCCATTGTTGAAAAATGACAAAATATAACTCCTATAACTGCTAAAACTTGTTGCCACTTCGTTTTTGTTTTTATTTCCAGAAGAAGAAAAAGTGTCTTCAGAGGTTTTTGTGTCGTTTCTTTCAGTAATTCTTGGTGCAGCGCCCCCACAGGCGAGTGGGGGAACAGGTTGGTTCAACAGGTTGGCTCGACTGCACAGTGCAGTGTGAACGCAAATGCACCAGCTCAAATGTAAACAAAATGTTATGAATATTGGTCCCCAACCGAACCGAGTCTACCGGACTATCAGGTGTGAAAACAACCTTAGAGATAGGGTGAAAGTTCAGTTATTCGGGAGAGACACGGAGTAGAACCACTACTCCTCCATGTCAAGAGGAGCCAGTTGAGGTAAGGATGCCCCCTGGGCGCCTCCCTAGGGAGGTGCTTTGGCATGTCCAACTGGGAGGAAACCCCGGGGAAGACCCAAGACACGCTGGAGAGGCAATGTTTCTCGGTTGGCCTGGGAACGCCTTGGAGTCCTCCCAGAAGAGCTGGAAGAGGTGGCTGTGGAAAAAGATGTCTGGGCCTCCCTGCTCAAGCTGCTGCCCCCGCGACCCGACTTCGGAATAAGCGGAAGATAATGGATGGATGGATGAATGTTGTTAGTGCAGAAAAACTTTGGACTGCAGCTGCCTGGAGTGCGCATCTGGAGTGCGCATGTGCAACTTCACTCTTGTGGAACATTTCACCTTCGCTGGGGGTTCCCCAAAAATCTCCACTCTGAGACCTGGATTCAGAAACCTTCAGTTTCAGAGAGAATGAGAGCTGTTGTCATGTAAATGAATGGCCGAATCGCAGCTCAAAAAACGTGCCATGCAAACGGGGCCTAAGATCATCTTATGATGAGAAATGATGATTCGTTTTGGTTAAACCTTGAACATCATCTCGTGATATTGTGGCTCAGAGTATGTGTTGGGGATCACACTCAGCCGCAACAAAATTTACGACAATATAGCAACTTTTGTGTTGAGTAATATTGATTAACTGGGGTGGCCATCTTGAATCCTTGCAACATCAAAAGTTCATCAGTTGTGGATGCATACTCAATGATTATTATCTGAAACTTCCATTAAATCTAATAACTGGTTCATGGGATATAGTGGCAAGAAACAAATAAAAACAACATTGTCCACATTTGCCTTTCAATGATGGGCAGTAACTAATAGCTTGACATTTATGAGTGAGAGAGCTAAAAGCAGGAGTGACTCACCTAGTGTCCGCTGAGAGCTGAGGTCAGAATGCAGAGTGATGAGGGCCAGAGTGCTGTGGAGATGCAGAAACTCCCGAGCCTGAGCTGGGCTCCACCTTCGATTCTGACATAAAAGAAAAACTAAAGTCACTTTTTGAGACTTTCGCACGACGTAGGTGGAATGCTCAAAGAGTCAAATACACCAAGAGCAAAAAGTACAGCTTTGAATTAAAACGCGCCATTTTGAATTTTACAAGTTATACCTGGTTGTTTTGCCTGTTGGGTCCCAAGAGGAAGAGAAGCATCCGATGATAAGCCGAGTGTTTTAACAGCAGCTGACAAGAATCACAACCCTGAGAGTAAAGAACATGACACACAAGGCTCAGACTTATTTTATTGTCATTAAAATTCAACAGTTTTCACGGTGACGTTCTGTAATTACCCTCTGAGCAAAGTTACTGAAGAGGCTGAAGTACTGTGCACAGTTTTTCACATTTTCAGGGACATCTTTGTCCAACAAGGACAGCAGAGCATCAGTCAAACTGTTCAGTCCAGGGTCTTCAAAGAGTAGGGCGCTCTCCAGAGTCTTCTCCAGGATGGACGCCACCACTGTCCTCACCTCTCGCACACTGCACTCCAACAGACAAACCCTGAGGAGGAGAGAGCACAACAAACATTTTCTTGGTACAAGAGGAAGAATAATCTAGAAAGTTCCTGAAGAAACTTTGACAGGGACTACCATGTTGCGGCCATTTAAAATTTTTGTTTTGATAGTACTGTGTGTTGGGGTTCACTCTCAGCTACAAGTACACCAAATTTCAGCTCAATAAGGAAAAAAGTACGAATTATGTTTTTTTTTTTCTTGTAAGCTATGGTGGTCATCTTGGATTTTTTATTTGGATTCAGTATGTGATGGGGAACGTTCTCAGCTATAACCACACCAAATTCCAGCTCAATGTGTGTAAAAATAGCTGAGTTAAAGCCATTTAGATGTAGCTTCGGTAGCCATCTTCGATGTTTATCTGAAGTCAGTATTTACTGGGCATTGCTCTCAGGTACCAACACACAAAATTTCCGCTTGATATCTCTAAAAATTACTGATTTATTCATATATATATATATATATATGTATATGTATATGTATATGTGTATGTATGTATGTATGTATGTATGTATGTATGTATGTATGTATGTATGTATGTATGTATGTATGTATGTATGTATGTATGTATGTATGTATGTATGTATGTATGTATGTATGTATGTTTTTTTTTTGTTTTTTTTTTCCCAGGCAAGCTTTTTTAATGGTAAAAAGTGGATGAGAGACGAAACGTTTCTACATTTTTTTGTTGATTTGCTTTGTTTTGTTTTTTTGAATGTCCAGAGGACCAGATTTAACTTTTTTAGATAAAAGGTAAATGGACTGTACTTATATAGCTCCTTTTTATCTGATCAATATACTCAAAGTGCTTCACACTACAATCTGTGTCCTCATTTACCCATTCATACAGCACTCTACTAGATCAATACAAAGCTAATTGAACAAATCATTCTAAAGAGACTAATCAGAGCTTTAGATCACATTCATACACCGAAGGGCCACACATCAGAGGCAATGAGGGGTTCAGTGTCTTGCCCAGGGACACTTCAGCATGTGACTGCTGGTGGATTTGAACCCCCAACTCTTGCATTGGAGGATGACTGCTCTAACCACTCAGCCACAGCCGCCCACTTGATGAGTTATAGCATCTGAAATGATCTTTGGCAGCCATCTTGCAATTTTTAGACTGGAATTCAGAATATGTTGTGCATCGCTGTCATGTACCACCACACCAAATTTCAGCTCAATATCTTTTAAAATAGCTGAGTAATTGTGCTTTTCCCTTTTAGCTAAGGTGGTCATCTTGGATTTTTAATTTGCATTAGGAATTTATAACAAATCGCTCTAGAAATGCCAGTAAAGGTAATAGCACACTTTACGGTGCTGAGCCGGTCGTTTTGATATAACATATGTGGGGGTACACATTGCAGTTCAAGCCACATTAAACTGATATAAGAGTAAGACCCTGTTCAGGAAAACAATAAGAGGTGGCTGCCTTTCTGGGCAGTCCCCAATGAGGCAAAGAGCAAAACTTCTCCCCCCTTTTTTGCTGTACTGTTTAGGCTTGAGACACTTTGTGTTTCTTGTTCGTGAGAAGAAACATGTGATATGTGGTGTGTAAAAAGGGGATGGAGGTTTGTTGTTGCACAAACGCCTGATGCTCAACAACCAATCATGTCTGAGGATAAAATGATCACCCCATCGTTAAACACAGCAGTGTAAGCCAACACAAGTCTCTAAAAACACCCCTGCTTTAGGAACCTACCCTCTGGCTCTGATTGTTTACATTCCACAGATTGGTGCACTGTTTTAGCCAGTCAACATTAAACAAGCGAGTTACATGGACACATGCTTTTAATACTTTAAATATACTCCAGGGGCAAAGTGTCAAAGCCATTAAATCATGTTATAAAACATGAGAAACTTCAGGCTTAGGGTCAAGCTTGAGCAGCAGAGTATAAGTATTAGAGAGAAAATTCTCAATTCTGTGATCAAATATGTCACAGAAGAGCAGAATAACAAATTCTGACCTGATGAGTTCCCGTCCCTCTGGTCCCACCAGGTACTGCACCATCCACTGACATGCCTCACTGCTCTTTGACAGCAGCACCTCCACCGCTGCCATCCACTCCTCTGTGTCCACCCTGCAGAAGGGACATAAAAAAATAAATACAGCTAATCTACTCCTCAGGAAAAAACACAGTAACGTCCTGTCTGTGCTTTTATGTAGCTACCTGAGTTTCTTTTTGGTGTGTAGGAAGGTGTGGAAGAGGAAGTGAACAGCCAGTTGGAGGCTTTCTTTGGCCATAGGCTGATAGTCTGGATGCTTCAGTTTAGTCTGTAAAAAGGTTTTTGAATACAATATGCATGATCTGCATAAATAAATCAGTTTTGACCAAACAATATCGAAGGTTTCTTAAAAAAACAACAACAACAATAAAAACAAAAACAATATTAAAATAAAATGATTTTTAATTACAGTAGTCCCTTGCTACTTCACGGTTCGAATTTTGTAGACTTGCTCTTTCACGGTTTTTCGATGATTGTCAACTTTAATATTACTCGCATGATTGGGATGACATGTGATAAAAAGTTAACAAAAAAACACACTTTGGACAGGCACCGCCATTTTGTAGTTTTCTTTCAATAAGCCAACACTGTAAGGCCAGTCCAAAAGAACTACACTACCCAGAGTTCAACAGTGCTTCTACCTGCTGCTTTCTGCCAAAATGGAGGGAAAGTTTTGATCTGAGCCAAACCTGACTAGATTTTTTTTAAAGTTTGGTCCTTATTCATAGTGACTTTGGTGCTCAGTGGATGCAGAGAGCCGATCAGAACCAGAGCAGAACTACTTCCAGCCTCATTGGTCAATCTGAGTGCTGAATGACGGCCCAGGAAGCCTCTCGAGTGTGGAGGCGTTGCTCAGAGGTCCAGTGTCTTCTCCAGAGCTCACCTGGACTTTTTTCATCTGGATTCTTCTGGATTATTTGGACTCGACTGGGACCATTGTGTGGTTTTGTGCTGGCTCTTCCAAGGTCCGGCTCTCTCCAAAAGCGTCTGGTGCTCAACGGCTGCAGAGAGCCGATCAGAACCAGACCAGAACTGGACCAAGGCTGGTGATTCCCCATATAAAATTTTGCAGTACTGTACAGTACATATACGTATGTTGTTACAATTACGTAGGTTTAAGAGTTTAGAGCATTGCAAGAGTGTGGGAAGGGTTTATAAAGCCTTAAAGTATAAATAAATACTAAAATAAATATAAAGTTTCTACTTTGTGGTTTTTTACTTATTGTGGGGTTGTCCAGAACATAACCCCGGCGATAAACGAGGGACTACTGTAAAGTGAAATCTCTAATATATGAATGCAGTTTACAATGACTTTACATGTCTAGTTTTTGAATCTGTGAGCTAAGAAAACCTGTCGGACACATACTGCGTTGACTGAAGCCAAGGAGAGGATGAAGCTGAAGTAGTCACTGTTGTAGACGTCTCTGTTCCTCATAAACCTCAAATTCTCATCTCTCACCATCTGTGCAACAAAAAAGGAATTTATCTTTCTTTTAAAGGTGTGAAATTTTCTCACCACGGCAACAAACTAAGGAGAATTTATATTGGTGTAAAGACAGAAAGAGGATGCTTGATGCTGGTTCACCTGATAAATACTGGCGGGCATTTTCTCTACAAAGAGACCTTTCTTCTCCCCCTTTCGCACGAGGCGTGTGAGAAGGGTCAGGCGGTCGTTGTTGGCTCTTGGTGGTCGAGGAGAAGACTGGGGGGAGACATCAGGAGAGGAGGGGGCAGACCTGAGAAATACAACACGAATATTTGATAGCAGCTTTGGCACAGAGACTCATCCAAAAACGTTTTTTTGGAATGAAAACAATTGATTTATTTCTGTAAACTACAAAAATTTAAGAAAAACAAGTTCAATGCCTATAAAATGTCATAGTTTGAGCTATTTATGGTTAAATACATGAGCAGGCTGCTGCTGCATGGGAAAAGTTGACTGAAGCAGTGTTTACATGATGCATAAAACGCTGACTCACAGTGTCAGATCTTCAGCTTCCTGCCTCATGATGCTGACTCGGCTTTTCTTTGGCAGGGCAGGTGAGTTCTGATCACTAATCTTCTGATAAAACAACATGTAGGCGTTCCAGTACCTCCTCCGCACATCAGGGTATGGGTTGGCTGAACACACGCATCCAACAAAAAACAAGCTTATTTACTGTTGCTCTCACGAGAACCCACTGTGGCAACGATAGAAACCAAAACCAGTTCCTTACACTGGTCGTAAACTTTAGGGCGGTACTCTCCACCGAAACACTCGTACTCCAGAGTTTCATCGTTCATGTCGAACTCCTCCACTACGTTGTCGTTGAACTTGTACCAGCGTCCACGGCCGCTTCCGCTACAAAGAAAATCATATAAGAGCAAAAGGAGAATAGAAAGAAAGAAAAAAGGTTATATAAGGTATAAAGGTAGGTGCTTGAAACTCTATTTAAAATAATATTTATTGAAATAATTTATTGGGTGGCACGGTGACCTAATTGGTGAAGCTGTTGCCTCACAGCGACAAGGCCACCGGTTCAAATCTCGGTCCGGGGACCTTTCTGAGTGGAGTTTGCATGTTCTCTTCGTGCATGTGTGAGTTTTCTACGGGTACTCCAGTTTCTTCCCACAGAACAAAAACATGCTTGTTAGACTGATTGGTAACTCTAAATCAGGGGTGTCAAACTCCAGGCCTCGAGGGTCGGAGTCCTGCAACTTTTATTTGTTGCACTGGTCCAAAACACCTGAATCATATGAGTGAATTAGCTTCTCAGTGCAATCAAGTTCTCCAAAGTCCTGCTAATGACCTCCTTATTTGATTCAGCTGTGTGGCATCAGAGACACATCTAAAAGTTGCAGGACTCCGGCCCTCGAGGCCTGGAGTTTGATACCTGTGTTCTAAATTGTCTCTATGTGTGAGTGAGAGAGTGAATGGTTGTTCTCGTTTGTCTCTGTGTTCCTGTGATGGACTGGAGACCTGTCCAGGGTGTACCCCAGCTCTCACACAGTGATAACTGGACATGGGCACCAGTGACCCCCGCGACCCAGAAAGGAAGAAGCGGGTAAAGATAATGGATGGATGACATTAAATGTGATATATTTTATTTCCATTATGAGAAATTATTATCTAAAGTCAAAACCTGCTCTGAATCTACTTGGCATAAAAATAAAGAGTAAGAAGGAGGTGCAGAAAGTATTTCATCACCTGCCAGCAGGTCAGCAAGTGATCCTAAACAAAAATGTAATTAAATGAATGATCAGTGTTCCCAATCCAGTTGTTTTGTTTTTGTTCCACTACACCTCGATGACCATTCCTATCTTTCAGAGCCAAACATCTGGAGATGCTCACAAACTAAATGATTTCCACAAACACTGAAGCTGTAGTCAGATGCCTTAGAGAGGACTTTTAAATCCTCTACGTGCTCCAGTTATAACTGTTGTTTCAGCTTATTATGTAAAGTAGAAACAGCAGGAGGTGAATTAGTGGCACTAAAATAGAAAATGTATTTTCAGAGGATTATTTCTATAAATTAAAGAAAGAGAAAGGCACGTCTTGTTCTCTTACCGTCTGTCTTTGATGAAGGAGTAGTAGTGTCCAGCATGTGCCTGACCACTGTGGACCACCACCCCCACCAGTTCATAGTTCTCTGAAATGGTAACTTTCTTCCTGGGTGATCCTCCCGAGGCTCCATCTCCTCTTCCCTCGCCCACCTCCCCGCTGCAGTCCTGACGGGCCATTCCAGCCACCGTGTAGGGCTCCATGTTCAGAACCCAGGGGAACTGTTCAACAAAATGTTTAAATTCATGTCAAAGATATGCAGCGCTGCAAGAAAATGAAAGAAAAATGTCTCACAACGTAGGGGAATACAATTTCAGGATATAAATTTTCCAGCACACCCTGATCTGCTCGTCGTATTTGATGGATCGTCCGCTTTCCCAGTCGAATCCAAAGCGCATGAGGTGGATACAAAGCACACTGGGCAGGGATTTGATGCATGTTCTCTTCACTGTGGTCCTCTGTACAGATGACACATAAACGCAGGCTTCAAGTATAAACGGCTTCAAGTGTAACGTTATAAAAGCATGTGTGGTGGTGTACAGACCTTCTCCTTGCATTTTTCACAGTAGTAAGCGTTGCTGCCCTCGAGCACCTCTCCTCTGACAAACTGGTCTAAAGAGATCTCCAAACTCTGACAAGAAGTCACTCCAAGGTTCAAAGCCATGAAGGTTTCTTCACGCTCATATCTGTGACAGATTCCCCACCACACTGTCAAACATGGAAAACTAAAAAGGGTCAACATCTGGTAACGTAAAAGAACTGACGCTCACCTGTGGGGGCAGTCTTTGCAAATCTTCTGGTCGGAGAAAATTCCCTGAAATGTGTTTTTGAAGATTTGTTCTCGACCAATTTTCTGGAGGGGAAAAGTTTAAGAAGCTCGTCAAAACCACAGCAATAATAAGCTGAATGTTATCTTTGCGTTAATGTTCAAGCTATACCTTGAGGTGTTCATCAAGCTGATCCACCAAGCTGGTGAAGAACTCATAAGCATCCTGCTGTTCTCTGACGTACAGCTCCTTGTTCCACATCTTAAAGATCTGCAACAAAACCGCACATACATCATATATAACAATATACCTTCCTTAACCGCAAGGAGAGCATTGTGAAGAATGTTTGTTTGAAGATACTCAGCAGTACCAAAATACAGTAGTCCCTCGCTACTTCACACTTTGTTTATCACAGTCTCGCTCTATCGCGGTTTAACAAGATAACCACCTAAAAACAATTATTTGTTTGCTAGACTTTATCGTAAAGGTGTGTCTCGGTTGAACTTTTACTTAATAAATGCACTTTGACTGTCAAATCAGCTGCATTTTGCCGAGGCAGTGAGGCGAAATGAAGCTGATCTGATTGCTCCAGGCAGACGATGGTGGGAGCTATGGCAAGCCGATTGTGTCATTAATAGTCGCTTTTATCTATTGCATGACACAACAGCATGCCATACTACTCGAGTGCCATCTCATGGCTGAAAATGGTAGTGCTCAATATTTTCAGTCAGAATTAATGAAAACAGTCATATCTCAGCCAAAATTTGGTTTATAAATATGGGAAAAATCCATAAATACGTCGCTTAAACCTATAAGTCGCAGGGCATGTAAATTATGCAAAAAAACCCCCGCAACTTATAGGCAGAAAAATACGTTACTGCTTGGACTACTGTAACCCTACTTCACTGTTTTTCACTTATCATGGGGTGGGGGGTCCCTAACACCTGTGATAAACGAAGGAGCACTGTATACAAAAACAGATGATATTTTCTTATGTTACAAAAAAAATCTTAAACTGAAACACTTGTGATCTGCAATGGCATGTTCAGAAGCAGAAAACACTTCAGTTGTATCTATACTTCCATGTGAACAGTCTTTTACCTTCCAAAAGTTCTCTGGCACATAGTACTGCAGTTTGCTCTCCATCAAGTGGCCAAACAAAGACTGAACTTGGTAGAAAACGCTCTCTTCAGGCTGGTCGGTGTCATCCTCAATCGATAGGAAAGCCTAAAGCAAAATAAAAAAATCACAGTCACCATTTGAATCTAAGTCTATACTCAAACAGCAGGTTTTCTGAAGTAAAACATTTGAAATCTGTGTACCTCAGGAAGGCCAGGCTGCATATAAAGCTGCTGGAACACAGCGTTCATGTAACAGGTGGCTCCACCGTTCTTAAGCCCGACGAAACCTGAGACGGACCGGCTCTCCACAGGCGGTAAATACTGACAACAGACAGAAATGTTTTTTAAAAACATTACAAAACTCCAACAAAAGTACAAATCTGAAAAATGACCTACGTCAAACTCCTTGGAGAGGGATGGATCAGACTGGTGGTGCATGGACAGCAACTCTCTGGTGATGAGGCGCAGGTTGGAGAGCGAGCTGTCTGTCAGCATCACCAGCACCTCATAGGCTGCCAGCCTGCTGCTGGCTGTGCTGCACCTGAAAGATTTATTTATTTTTACTGCCACTTCTATCCAGAAACATTCAGTGCTTTGTCTTCTACAACACATTCAAATTAATCAAAAAGTTGCAGTAAAAATAACCAAATGAGACACTTACTTGGGGTGGAAGTCGTGACTGGGGGCTGGAGAAGGTGTAGGGTTGGAGCTGTTGATGATGATGCGAGAGGCTCGAAACAGGAAGTCATCCAACAACTGCTGGATAAGAGACGGACCTGGGGAAGAGTTGCACAACGCACCATGACAACACTGTCAATAATAACCCTCTCAACATGGCTGTGGAGGAACAACATGTCCAATCACCGAGATGTTCTTTCTCGTTGCCGCAGAGCGAGAGCAAAGTCTTGATGAGTCTGAGATGTCCTGCGAGCAGGATGTTATCTGCCTCGCTGGTCTCCATCTCAGAGCTCCAGCTGGGCTCAAAGTTGTCGAGCCAAGAGATCTCATCCTCCAGCATGGCGGCAGCGCTCACTTTTAACACCTCCATCTCTGATGCTGGAGCAGATCAGAAACAAGGGACAATCAGAAACTGCTATAAACTGATTTTTCTTTGCTAGAATGGAAGATGCAACATGTGTTGCAAACATTCTTTCATCTGATAAAACATTTCCCACGTAAGGAGCAACGTGCGTCACTCACTGGTTAGGTCGTCCAGAAGCTGGCACCTTAGATCAAAGTACTCTGTGCACTGAGACAGTAACCTTAAGAGAAGAGAAACTCAGAGTGAGATCTCTGAAAATGATTTACAGGTTTTATTTTTAATCTTTCTCACTTCCGTACCTCTGGTTGACACCTCTCATGACAGATGTGGGGCTCCAGAGTGGCAGCTGGGCAGTGAGGACGACTGAAAGGAGGAACAAGTTGGGCTTTTGGACTTCAGGGAAGGCAGAAGTGTCAGACTGGCTCAAAGTGTACAGCTGATCACAAGCCACGCGGCGGATCTGGGGGAAAAATAAACAGAGAAAAGATCACTTGTGATTCCAGTGAAATGCTCACAGCTCACAGTTTGATCAGTGTGTTGTTTACCTCTGCACTGGGAGACCCCAGCAGAATATCAATAATGAAATCATTGACGGAGAGAAGGGTGTAAAATGACGCTGTGGAGGAAAACAAAGCCTATGAGCGTGAAATCTGAGGGACAGAAATGAAAAAAGTACAACAGTTAAGAAAATTGTGAAATCAGGGGTCTTACCCAGCTGCTGACAGCGTAACTGCAGACAAGTAACCAGCAGGGATAAAGCCTCGCGGGCGATGATGGCATCTTTGGTGGAGACATGTTGCTGTCGGACACATATCCCTGCATGCAGTGCTGTTGGCGTGCTCTCACCCTCGCTGCTGGAGCTACAGTTACTTCCTGCAGAACATTTTTCCTTTAATTAGTTTAGATTTTACATGAAAATTACAGCATCATCAAACATTAATGGCAAAAACAAAATACTGTAAATAACATGAGAATTATCACGACTGTGAAAACATCTCTAATAAACAGACAAAAACTAAATGTTGAGTGTTTTTTCCATCTTACCAGTACTGCTGACTCTGGTGCGGACTCCTTGTGACAGAAGTGAGCCGTGCGTCTCTCTGATTGGCTGTGGGCTGCCAACCAGATCCAGTCGACCTGCTGCAGCCGCCCAGGTCAAACGCATGAAACAGGCGACAGTGGAGGTGAAGTCATTTACCTCCATGGTCTAAAGAGACACCAAACAAGGCAGAAAACATCTCAGCGCAAGGACAAAACCAATGAGTCATGACCAAACAACTGATTCAACAGAAAGTACCTGAATGGCAACACGAGCAGCAGGAATGATTTCCTCGACTCGTATTGATGAGCGCTCGGACAGAGACATCTGTCTGCAGGAGGACTTCTCTGGAGTTCCACAGAGGGACAGCTGCCGGCCTGACCGTCCCACGTTACGAAACGGCCGGGAAGACAATGCCTCGCCGTCCCTGATGACATCATCATCCAGCGCAGCAGGCATGCTTTGACCGACCAAGAGGAACCTGAAATGATGGATTATTCAGCATGCAAGTTTAAATTAACATGTGAAATTCATCATTCAAACACATGATCGTTTTCTACATAAACACAGAAAAATGTGTCATGGAATATGATATTTATAAAAAAAAAAAATTAAATTGTCTTCTTTGACTAATGCTATGGATAGTAAGAGAATTTCTTAGAGAGACTGGAAATACGCCAGAGTGAAGCCAAAATGATAATGTTTTTGTTCAGGCACAAATTAAAGATTAATTGTGTAAACATGATATTGACAAGCACGTTGAAAGCAGTGCACAGCAGCAGCTACTAACTAACATCATATAACTTACCGGTATGTAAACATTTACAAGAACATGACATTTTTTTATTCACACATTATTTCACTCTGTTATTTGTAAGAGTTATTACTGTGTTTTCCCATGATAAATCATAAACTGAAACATCCAGAAAACATGAGAACAGCAATGTATGCATGAAAATGTCTTCTGATGTATAATCTTCACCTGGCTAACTGAAGGCAGATTGAGTAGACTCCTTGTCTGGTCTCGTAGTCCACTTCAGATGGGATAGAATCTCTCTGCATAACGTTCACCACCAGGCTGCAGAAAGAGTTGGCAGAAGCAGTAAAGTAGTGTAAGGCATTTTGAAAAGATAATGCCATTTGGCATATGCATCCAGGTTTAAAATGATGCTGGACTAAAATGCATGCACTAGCCACAGCAGAGCACAGAAAACATCCATACATGTAAATTTTCTTGGTTGTTTCACTTTAGATTGTTGGTTTTTAGTTGTTTGTTTTTTTACCTAAGGCCTCCTGCTTTGAGGAAGTTTTCACAGAAGGACTTGCTGCTTGTTTTTGCCATCTCATCATCCGATGTTGGCATGAGCTTTGAACTCAAGACCTAACACAAGAAGAAAGAACAAAAAAGAAAAAAACAACACATGTGAAGCCACTAATCCACTTCCATGTTTGAGCACAGATGTAAAATGGTTGCTTAAGTTTGTGTTGAAATGCATGCATACCTCAAGATTGTAAAGCACTCTGAACGTGGACATGCCGGGGGCAGATGTTCTAAAGAGAGACTCCAGAATGGACGCAGCACTGGGCTGCTGCTGCTGCTTAGGGGTAACAGACGGAGAACGAGAACCTGCACCCTGACCGAGGGTGAACAGCGTCTTCTGCAAAAAAACAGTCACAAAGTAAACTGAAACTGCAAACTTTGTGCTCAAAACAATTCAGTTTTTATAACTCCAGGTACCTGGTGGCTCCAGACGCTGGACTCTTTGGGGACAAAGTTGTCGAGAGCATCTTGCACTTCAGGATCTGTTGGAATCAGCAGCAGCAGCTTCCTCACACGAAGGGTAATTCTATTGGTTATCAAAATAATAAAGTTATTTAGTCCTTTACATTTATAAAACATGTTTCGTTTTAAATAGCAAAAATGATTTGATATACAGAGAGATGGCATCACAGTAAACCAAGGATGGTGCGTCCAAGGCTTCTTCATGATGTATGCAACATAAAAACTACCACCTCACCTCGGCTCATCTAAGTTTGCCAGCTGGTAAAGCATCTCAAACACATTGCACACCAAAGCCATCACCACCCCAGGCAGAGACTTTTCCTGGATACAGAAAACAATTGGAACCAGAGTTGGCCCGGGCATGCCAAAACGTATGCTCTGCAAAGTAAATGCACCGTGACCATTTCATGTAATACCTGCTCCAAGGCGTAGGCGGAGTTGAACACAGCGGAGCTGGAACTGCTGGAGGCGGAGGCCGAGGACTCCGAGCTGCCGGAAGGAGTGCCAGTACCTGAGCTCTTCACCGTCAGGCTCTGTTCGTCACTGAAGCCGAGCTGGGAGAGCAGCTTCTGGTCCCGGTTCATGGTCAACTAACAGAAAGCGAGGGGTTAAACGACATTTATAAAGTGTACACAGCAGATGCAACACACAGTCAAATAACATACAGTTCAGACAACAGTCAGAAACACTTACCATGCTATCATTAGCAAAAATTTGGACATTATCTACAGGACAGCTCAAATGCTCAGATATCTTCCATCGGACACTTCCTATCGTCTCGTTACTGTGGGTCTGCAGGACACACAGCACACGTAATCAGAGAGGAAGGGCAGTCCCACTGCAGATGTCAACTAAAAACAAAATGCTACTGGAAACTGGGAATACCTCTAGAGAGATTGTGTCTTTGGTTGACTCGTAGGTGATATGAAGAGTGACAGGGTGTCCGTTAAACGAGGCCCCATGAGGTAGAATGGTGCGGGGGAATGAGTACAAGTCCTGCACAGAAGCACAAAAACATGAACTTACAAGCAAAAACATCAACAGCTTGATGTGCAGAAAAAGGTTTGACTAAAACATAATTATCTGTCACAAATAGTATCCAGTCTAGGTCTCTGGTCTTGTGTGCGTGGGGGGTGGTCAGTTGATTGAACACATTAACATTTAATACAAAGTCAAATTTTAGATACAAAAAACCCTATGGAGGTCGTGGAGCAGATGAGGGTGATGATGTAACTGCTACGGTGTCTCGCCCACCACACAAAGTTGATCCCGTGCGATAATGTACAGGTTTATTAATTTATCACATGACGTGATCTTTGTGGCACGGTGGGCAGTACCATTGGGATGGTGCGTCCAGGTCACCCCCACTTGAATCATGGTAGGGAAACACTGGTATCTACTTGAATCTTATGTCTCCAAAACATTTGCTGCCAAATACCAAATACCTCTATAGTGATGACGTAGCGTTCAGCCAATAACAGCAGTCTTTCAATTATCACCAGCTTTGTGGATCTAGAAATCAACACATAAGACTTTCTGTAAGATTTCAAGTTAAACTGATCCTTAAAACTGTTATTAGGAACGAAATAATAAGCAATTTGAGAAAAAAGATGACATAAGTTTAGTAAGTCTGTTCTTACCCAAACCCCCCTCTGTACCTGGAAGGTGATTGTACAGATGTGGCCACAGTTGGCATGGCAGTGGCCGTCAGCATCTTGGTTGCCTTGGTAACGGCATGCGTTAAAGTGGGCCCACCCAGGGCCGAGCTCGCAGCCTGAGAAAAGGGGAACAGAAATGAGCTGCTACACATTGATCTTTGTGAAGAAAAAAAATCATACCAAAAACCAAGTGCATACCTCTAGGCGCTTGTAGCAATCAGCGATGAACTTCTTGTGCAGCGAGACAGAATCCTGTGAGGTGAAAACAGACGCGTGATTTAAAGGTATTAAATAGGACTCAGTCATTTAAACAGGTTAATGAATGTTTGCACGCCCACACGTAAACCGACCTTCTTCATTTTTGGATTGAGGTTGGTGTAGCTATATGTGATTATGAGCTGGATTGCTTCATTGGCGATCTCTTCATCAGGGGTTTCCATGGCGATGCGCCAAATAAAATCCATCCCTGCCAGGTCAAGACGCTCCACACACTAATCACAGCATATGACACATTAAATGCTTTATTAAACATGTTTTATATTAGAAACAACACATGAACTAAAGGAGGACTCACCAGCTGAGTTCCCTGGCGCTTCAGACGATGGTCGCACAGATTGACATTTTCAAAGAACGTCTTGAACAAACTAAAACCTAAGGCACAGATTTACAAACATGTTACCCACTATAGGAAATATTTACTTTACTTATGATATGTTAGGCTACGCACGCACGCATCCATGCACGTACGCACGCACACGGTCTCTAACCATTCATTGTGATCTCGTAAGGCTCCAGTTTTAAGATTTTCTCCTTGAAGAGCTGCTGCTGGACGTCACTCTCCAGATCATGTTGTCCTTTGGTGAACCACTCAAAACACATCTAAACATACGAAAACATCTGGCGATTACATCCAATTACACCAACGTTTCAGTACAGAACCTGTGAACTATTTGTTATTTTACAGAAAGCAGATGCAACAAGTGCTAATATTAGGGAAATAAATCATTACCAACCTTAGGTGACCACTGGGTGTCACACTAAGCAGCTCATATTAAAAATAAATAAAGCTGAGACTGAACAGCTTCTCCCTCCCATAAATTCAATACGTTGCAGTTTTTATGCAGCAGATAGTTTGTAGGGTAAAATATGTCAAATGAACATTTAAAATTTATCAAATTCAACAGAAACTAGAGAAATTGCATTTTCTGTGAAACTGCAGTGTGAATGCTCATTGCTGAAGAACTAGATAAAAAAACAGCTAAAATTAGTTTAAAACATGCTTAAATGTAGCTGAAATGGAAGAACAAGCCTAAGTTAGCAGAAAAAAGCAGAAAGATCACATTTTTGCTGAATTTGGTTTAAATAAGCAGAAAGGAGCACAAAAGTTGCGAAATTAGCTACAAAAGCTGAAATTAGCAAAAAATAGCTGAAAAGTAGCTGACAAGGTAGAAAGAAGCTTAAACTACCAGAAGGAAGTGGAAGGAGCTGAAATTAGCTAAAACAAAAGTGGAACTAGCAGAAAATGCTAAATTTAGCCCAAAACAGCGAATTACAGTAGTAGCTGAAATAGCAGAAAAAGCTGAAACTAGCAGAAAGAAGTTAGACTGAAAGTAGCTGAAATAACCACAAAAAAAACTTGAAATTATCTGAAAACAGCTAAATTAGCTAAAAATGCTCAAAAGTTAGCTTAAAATGTAGAGCAAGCTTAAATTAGCAGAAGGAAGTGGAAAGAGCAGAATTTTTCCCAATTAGGCTGAAAGAAGCAGAAATTAGCCCAAAAAAGAGGAAATTATCTGGAAAAAGCTGAAATTAGCAACAACAACAAAAATCAGCTAAAAATTGCCTAAAAAAGCAGAAAGCTGAAATTCAAAGAAGGAAGTGAAGAGAGCATATTTTTGCTGAATTAGTCTGAAAATAGTTCAAATGAGAGCAAAAAATGTGGAATTAGCTAAAAAAGCTTCAAATTGCATAAACAACTATATAGTATCTGAAATAGTAAAATTAGTTGAAACTTCTAGAGAGAAGCTGAAAGGAGCATTACAAACTGAAATCAGCAGAAAGAAGTTAGAAGAACAAAATTGTAGTTAGCAGAAATAATCTGAAAAGAGCACAAAACAGCTGAAAAAGTAGCTGAAATTAGCTGAAAAAATGTTTGCAGAAGGAAACTGAAAGAAGCTGAAACAGAACAAAATGTGAAAGGACCAGTAAAAGGTTTTAAACAAATGTAAAGATTTGAAGGATGGAAAATGAGCTCAATTCATTTTCTATGAGAATAAAAGTGGCAGAAAAGGCTAAATATTTCAAAAAAGCTAAAGTTGCACCAATACCAAAAGTCATAGCAGGATTGTCCTCAAAGAGCTGAACGTTTTGATTTATGATTTATTGAAATAGCTTGAAAACTGCGGGACGAGAATGGCATCGAAAATCATATGGAAGAGAAATGGATCACAACAGAGTGAATGCTTCATGAGCATTCCCATCAGTAAACTCTTGAGCAGCACTTTGAATTTTTAATTAATTAAAATGCCCGTCTTTATAGATGTCTTAAAAGCAGGAGGTGTCTGAACAGTTGATGCTTGCTCAGCTTCTACCTGCGTTCCACCAGAGCAGTCTTTTAGAAGAAAAAGCAGTGTCTATAGTGACAGTCAGTCAAGGACAAGGTCTGATTTGCATCAAACGTCTTCATACCTCACGGTCAAGTTCACAAACGTCCGGCCCAGACACCAGACATTCCCAGAGCTCCTTGGCTCTGTTCCAGACCAGGTAGAGGCTGGCTTCTTGGAGGAAGAATGCCAGGAAGCGCAAGTGACTGTCCAGATACTGAACAGAGAAAAAAACAAAGGTTTTACTTGTTTAATAACAAATTTTATAAGAAGTTTGAGCTGAAAACTAGTTCCTCTATTTATTTTCCTCTATCTAGTTGGATTAGAGCTGATGAATCAAACATGAACTAACCTCCTGGTAGGTGTATCTTCCATCCACTAGAGTTGAGCCAGAGAGGCCATTATTGCCTGAAGCCATCACCGCAAGTCGGTGGCAACACACAAGCGATGCTGTGATCAGCTTGATGATCTCAAAGTTCTTCTTTAAGTCCTGGATGATGCTCTGTGGTGGAGGAGGAAACGGTTACCTTAACATCAGTTAGTAGAGCAACTGCTTCAGACGCTCTGTGAGTGTTTGTGGTACCTTGTCCTGTTTCTGGTAGGTCTGTTTGATAAAAGAGCGAGTGATTTCATGCAGCTGTCGGAGAGCAGGAACAACCCAGACCGCCTGAGGAACGCTGTGCTGAGAGGCCTGTTGAAACACACAGTAGGTAGTATTTGTGGAATTACAACAGGAACAAAAAAAGCAAATCCCTATGATGGGCCTTTCAAATCCTTTTATGACAAGGTATTGCATCACAGACTTGCCAATTTTGATAAAGTAGCTTTGAGAAAATAAACAGTCAGAGCCATGGATATACAGCACCAGGGATCAAATGAACCTCTTTAAATGATAAAGTGATTCTTTAAACATGTGCTTCGTAGATATCCGTGGTTCTGAGCACTTCCACCAAAGCTTATTAGGCTGCTAAATCACACATCAGAATACTCTCACCCCAAACAGATCAACAGTAGGCCTGTCACGATAACAAAGTTTGCTGGGCGATTAATTGTCTCAGAAATTATTGCGATAAATGATAATATTGTTTGAAATTTGACAATAACTTAAAAATAAATATTTGTTAATTTCTTTTGAATGTAGTACCTTTTTTCGACCACCGGATGGCAGTATAAGACTGTTTGAACCAAAGGATGAGGTGAGGGAGCGAGCAGCATGTCTCTAAGAAAAATGGGCGGGAGGCCCCTTGACGTGACATCGGCTGTCTCACAGACAAATACGTAGACGCCCCATTGAGCGCTGAACTGTACGTCGCCGCCATTTTAAATGTGGCGGAACTGCAAGTCATTTAATGCAAAGAAATGGACTGACCTTCATAAAGCACCGTTCTACAAAGTGTTTTAAATTAATCCCTGTCATTCACACACACTAATATATATATGGAAAACAAACGGGCACCAAAGATAACATTTGTAACTTTTAACGTAGAATGATGCTTTATGAAGTTCTGTCTGTTTCTTTGCATTAAATGATGGCATTTCCGCCATATTTAAAATGGCGGACACTCTGACGTACCACTGCAGCGGGCCAGCCTGCTCTATGGGGCATCTAGAGTATATATAATGTCTATGGGCTGTCTCTCTTCAGGTCTCAAAACGGCAGACGCTCGTGTGATTTGAGCTCTTTAGCATAGCATTTTTCACACAAAGCTTTTAATTAAAAAAATCAATAAACAAGTTCTCAGCTTCTTTTTGCAGAGGAAAAACAACTTTTTACATGAAGGCACGGGTTTCAATCATGAATTTTGGAGCTT